GGTGAAATCCTCAAAGTAGCCCCACTTTGTGTCTCTGCTTCCACCCTGCACCCCACCCAACAAAACAGCCTCTTTGTGGTTTTCCTAGAATGAACGCTTGCTTTGAAAAAGAAGTCCCTGAATGTTGCCTTTTGACATGAACACCTCAAGCAACCTTCTGGGGGCAAATTACTAACCTAGGAATAAATCCAAATTTGGCAGCAGCCAAAGAATTTTCCTTTAGCGTCCTCACCTCTGCTGCTCCATTGTCCCCACAAATCCTCCCTGGAGAATCATCCTTATTTTGCATCATGGATTCAACAATCTTCGGGTTGCAGGTATAAGCCCTTCCTGGAATCCTGGCCAGATGGACTAATACCTGCCATGGAGGGTAAGGGCCTTCTTTCCCTTTCCATCTTGATACTTCCCCATGTCCACAAAACGCATCCTTATCACCCTTAACTCTAATTTAAAAGACATGCATCCTGGCCCATTTAAGTTCCTTATGTATTATTTCTAATGAAATGAGGCACGTCCTTCTGAGTGGATGCCTTCTCTTCCTTTGGCTCAAACCACTTCAGTAGTTGCTCACTAGCTTTGCAACAGCAAGCCAAAAGCAGTTCACCTGTTTCCTTAGCAGGAGTTGAAGACAGATTTATTTTCCAGGCATTTTTCAGGTTGATTTTATCTGGTTAAGCTTCGGAGGTCTTTGTTTGAGGAACACGTCTTCAGAAACACCCAATTTTGCAATGAGCGTTCCCAGCAGAGGACAATACGTGGAGTCTGAGGCTCTGCTTTCCTCTTATACCAGCAGACCAGACTGAATTATGCAAATGACCTTCGGGAGGAACCTTCATTTAGCAGACGCGACCTTTGGAGGAACCCGAATTCGACACAATTGGACTCTCCGGGTGGTTCCAGAGGTTTGGACGCTCCCGAAGTCAGATCAGGTCATGGCACTGAGGCTCCTGATCGGTTTCCTGATGCTCTTCCCTCCATGTAAGAAAAGTAACAGCAAAGATTATAATGCTTCAGTGGCTGCCTCAGCATTTTCTCATCTTCATGTTTTCTTGTCCTTTTTGCATGATTGCAGGTGTTTCTTCCCAGATCACCCTCACAGAGTCTGGAGGTGGAGTGAAGAGGCCGGGAGAGACCGTTCAACTGACCTGTACCGTGTCTGGGGTTTCTCTCTCAAACACTGACATGGACTGGGTCCGTCAGCCCCCAGGAAAGGGACTGGAGTGGGCAGGAGCTGTTTGGAGCAATGGTGCTCTGTACTATAACAGTGCTCTGAAGAACCGGCTCACCATCTCGAGGGACACCTCCAAGGGCCAGGTGTTCCTGCAAGTGCGTGACCTGAAGCCTGAGGACTCTGCCGTGTATTACTGTGCAAGCGACACAGTGAGGAAGTGCTGGTCTGGAGACGTACAAAAACATTTCTGCCCTCAAATGCCAGGCATGAGTCACTCACAGCTCCTTCTTTACCAGCTGTACAGGCTGTTGCATAACTCACATGCAAAATATGTACAAGCATTTGCAGAACATTCAATGAGTTGCCCTCATTTCACAATACATTTGGAGATGGGCCGAGGCTGCTGCTGGTGGTGCTCTTGCTCTATGACTCGCTCAAGCAGAATGACTTAGCACTTCCAACCACAACTGCAATTGGAAAGAGAGGCAAACTCGATGGTGTAAGCAGAGGCCAGTGTCCCCTCTGCCCCATCTCTATGAAGAGATAAGAATATGGGGCTCATTAAGTTCATCGTTAACTTGTCCCTCCATTTGAAAATGGAAGATTCTACCTATTTCCTTGTCATGCCTCTTCACCATAAATGGAG